CTGCAGTGAATGGGTGCCGTCAGAATGAGAGTCCAAACAGCTGATAAAAACATCACAATAATCCACACCACTCCAGTCCATCAGGTAATGTCTTGTGAAGAGAAAAGCTGCGTGTTTTTAAGAAAGAAATCTATCATTAAGACGTTTTTAACATAAAACAGTCGCTTCTGGTCAAAATAGGAGTCCATGATCCATAATAACGCTTCCTCCAGTGAAAAAGTCCATCTCCTGTTGTCTCTTAAATCAACATATTTGTTTAGAACTGTTTTTGCTTGTAAACAGTGCTTGATCTGTGCAGATTTCTTTCCCGATTCAGACCAGACCACTTTTTCACTGGTATTTTAGCCGGAAGCGACGGTTTCAAGTTAAAAACGTCTTAATAATGGATTTGTTTCTTACAAACACACAGATTTTCTCTTCACAAGACGTTAACTGGTGGACTGGAGTGGTGTAGATTACTTGTGGATTATTGTGATGTTTTTATCAGCTGTTTGGTCTCTCATTCTGACGGCACCCATTCACTGCAGAGGAACCATTGGTGAGCAAGTGATGCAATGCTACATTTCTCCAAACCTGATGAAGAAACAAACTCATCTACATCTTGGACGGCCTGAGGGTGAGGACATTTTCAGTTTTGGTTGAAATATTACTTTAATAATAAACATGAATACACAAATTTTTTCAGTAATGTGCATCTATATCTGTTAACATTTCAAAAATGTGTTCATGAACCTTTAAAGCATTAAATAAGAAGTTAATTTCTTTCTTAGGTCTTTGTTAATACACAACCATTCAATGTATTTCAGACTTTTATTTGCATCATACTTTATACATAATATTTAATACATTTTTTAAAAGGGTAACAGCTAGATGATTCCTAGCACTGATCCATTTGAATATTTTCAAAAGCTGGGAATAAAAACAGTCGATTGTCTTAAACATTTGCACTGGTTTGTTCTCAACTGAAATGCTAAATCAAAAGCGTTTGGGGCGAGTTCATTCACATAGTAAAGCACACCACGTTTAAGGCAACTGTGATTACGTACATAAAAAGGCTGCTTATTTACAACACAGACATCAGACTATTCCCAATATAAACTCATGCATTTTAGAAGCATTCAAACTAATGCTTACATCAATGCATTGCCAGTCTCTAATTGTGCTACTATAAGAATAATCTTTTATTTATTAAATGCACGCTTCTCTAAGAACATTTCCCTGGATGCATGGCATGCAAACGCCTGGGAATGAAAATGTTTGGAATGAAAATAATGGAATAAATCAAGTTGAGGGAGCAAAAATAGAGCATTTTTATAAATACAAAAAAGTTATCATTGTTAACACAGTGCTTGATGTTTATGCTTACTGTAACAAGAACCCAGAAGTACTGCAAGAGTCGAGGTCAAAGGTGCAACGAATTAAAAAAGGAACAAAATGTTAAAATGCACTGCCGTAGATTGACATCAGCAGGCGGATTTTTGGTAGAAATCAACTGAAAATGATGCATGAACAGCTTCTGTGCCACATCAACTCCACTAATCATGTCCTTTAGAACAGCAAACATCCTGCTTGAACAGGAAGTGCTGTTTAGTGTTTGGAGAGCTGCTCGGAAAGCCAGTCTAATCCCTCGTATAAACCCGTCCCTTGAGTCGCACAGGTCGCCTGGACATACCACTGATGAAAAGCACAGTATAAACATATTACTATTAAACGGATACAATATGCACTAAAATGAATGTTGAAAAGATTTTCTCTTCTGCTCACCAAGGTTGCATTTATTTGATCAATAATACAGTAAAATACAGTAATATTGTGAATTATTATTACTATTTAAAATAACTATTCTACTGTAATATATTCATAAAATGTAATTTATTTTTGTGATGCAAAGCTGAATTTTCAGCATCATTACAGTCTTCAGTGTCACATGATCCTTCAGAAATCATTCTAATATGCTGCTTAAGAAACATTTCTTATTATTATAAATGTTGAAATGCTACCATTCACAAGAAGAGAAATTAATAATTATATTCAGGAAGGATGCACTGCATTGATCAAAAGTGGCAGTTAAGACAATTATGAAGTTACATAAGATGTCTATTTCAAATGAATGCTATTCTTTTGAACTTTATATTAATCAAAAATATTTATCAGTTTCCAAAAAAACAAAAAAATGTTTTCAGCATTGATAATGATAAGAACCATTACTAATAAATGAGCATCAATCATAACTGATAACTGAGCAGCAAATCAGCATATTATTATGATTTCTGAAGATCATGTGACACTGAAGACTGGAGTAATGATGCTGAAAATTCAGCTTTTCATCACAGAAATAAATTAAATTTTACAATATATTAGAATAGAAATCAGCTATTTTAAATTGTAATAATATTTCTTAATATTGCTGTTTTTACTGTATTTTTGGTAAAAGAAATGCAGCCTTGGTGAGCAAAATGTTTAAAAACGTTTTAAAAAAAAAATTATTTTTCCAGAAATATGAATAATTACAAGTAACTGATCCAAAGTAAATACATTTTAATAACCAATATTAATATGTTTATTAAATGGCGCTTATAATTATGCATAGTAATATTGCACATTAAGCGTATAATTGCATCACTCACAGTTCTGCTCCTGAGTGCTTGCAGGCTGAGCTTGTCCGTCATCTCGCTGATGGGCATTGCGTTCGGTAAATCTTGTTTATTTGCAAAAACCAGCAGAACGGCGTCTCTCAGTTCATCCTCCTGAAGCTGTTGAAGACAGAATATGTGCAGATATTTATGTTATTCTGAAACAGAACTGCTTCACATTAACGACGGTGCACAATAGAAGCAGCGTTTGGTTAGTAGTTACTCATGCTGTACTGCTCCAGTGCAGCTACACAGAGTTGGTTTAATCTCAGAAGAACGTTTCCTCACAATCTTCTGAAGCTCTTCTGCTGCTTCCTGTGCTCGCTCACGATCGTTACTGTCCACAACAAAGATCAGACCCTGAAGAAACAACACAACACGTCACATTCAGGCAAAATATTAAGCACCAGTTCTTCTCTTAAAGGCTCATTTCCAGGAGGTTTTTTGGAGGTAAATTTAAATAAAACTTTGAGACTAAGCCAAAAAAAATTGCCTAACTAGAATATGGAAACAACTTTTAGTGCACCTTCTGATGCTTTTCCTCCGCAGTATTTTTGTCTTGTTTTCCAGTGCAAATGTATAAATACATTTAAAAGCAAAATCATGCAAGTCTTGTTTTCAGAGAAACTGTTAAAAATTGATTTCATGATTAAATCAAGAACAAATATCTGCCAATGAATGGAGTCAGACAAACAGACTTAATTCAAAGGAAAAACAAGTTTTAATTTCAGATATTTGTTCTTGTTTTAAATCTAACCTCAATTTTGTTTAATTTCTCAGAAAACAAGACATCATATCTTCATTATGCATCTCAAGTAGAAGTATCTTGATTTAGGCATGTTTAGATATTTCTATTGGAAAACAAGACAAAAATACTGATGAAGATTTTTCATTTTTGCTCTGTATGCAACATTCAGTGCCACGATTTAATACCTTTTAAAGGGACAGTTCACCCAAAAATAAAAATACTGTAATTTACTCAACCTCAAGTAGTTCCAAAACCACTGACATCCATAAAATAAAATTCAATGGGGACCAGCAACATCATCTTTCATGTTCAAAAGAATAAAGACATTCATACAGGTTAGGGCTGTGCGATATTGAAGAAAAATGCGATATGCAATAACTCGTTAAATAATGCGATATTTGACATGCGATACGATATTGCTTAAAGTGCCACATGCTCAGATGAAACAGTTTTACTCAGAGTCAGTTGCTGAGTCAGTTCTGTGAACTTCTATAACTATCTTGTGTCATATATATATGGTTATTTGTATGTATGTATGTACCAAGAGTTCCTGTAAAACCACAACAAACTCCTTGCGTTTGCGCACACTTAAGTGGTGAATAAAGCTCATTCGGATTCTGATTCTAATAAGAAAGCACTAACTAACGTTTAAAAAGTGAAATCGCAATGAACCACCCCTTTAAGACTTTTTAAGACCCGCAGAAACCAATTTGTGAGAGACTCGTAAATCAACCAGCACTGAAATAATCAGGATCTTGTTGAAAATGAACACGAGTCGTTGGTTTCTAATGCTGTGGGAAGGATCTGCAGAGCTGTAGGTGCTACACACAGATGCGAACAGCACAAGCTTTCACACACTTCACTCTTATTAGTACTGTTTAGAAATAATTGCATCTATCCTGCTTCCTACTTTTTATATGTTTCTGATCACCAGTGTCATGTGAAGTTCAGAATGAGACATTTTTGCGGTTTAGTTTGAATAAATGCTCTTACAACAGTTTTCAGTAAAAACACAACCCTTATTTTAATAATTATAATATTTTTAGGCATTTAAATGAATAAAAATGAGGTTTTACTATCACTTCTTGGGCTGGTGACTGACAGTTTGGTTTTGAGGCTGAAGACTGACTCATATTTCTTAATTTATGTCACTGGCGGTGAGTTTCTACGACCTCATGTTCATCTGTAAACACGTCTTTAGAAATCTTTTAGAAATTATCCATTCATAAGCATTAAGAACAAGCACAAGTTAGATATTCTATTATGAGCTTACCGATCAATCTATAATCTCAAACATGCAGGAAAGAAAAAGAGAACTACACGAACAGAAGAGAAACTGTTCTGTTCTCTAAAATCAAACTCTAGTAAAGGCCATTCCAGTTCAACTTAATCCTAATAGTAACACCAACATCCTCAAACAAAGAACATCCACGGCATCCAGCCAAACTATAACTACACACCCGTAGTTGTTTTTCTAGCAGCACACAAGGCTGGACGGTCAAACTCAATCAGTACGGCCATGGCACAATGAGCATTTCATCCTGCTGGAATGCTGCGACTCCACTGTTGTTTGGCTGCATTAACCGTGTGCGAGGCGCCGTCCTGCCATGACGTGATGCATCTGTTTACCTGGGTATTCTGGAAGTAGTGTCTCCAAAGAGGCCTGATCTTATCCTGACCACCCACATCCCACACGGTGAAGCAAATGTTCTTGTATTCGACCGTCTCGACGTTAAAACCTAAAGGAAGCACACAGGGTTGTGTGCGAAATCATTTAAGAGATGCAGATCTTCACACCAATGTAATAATCAATCACAAAACCTGTCAAGTGCATGTACGGGTCATGAAAATAAGGGAAAATCTTTATCAATGCTTCATTTTATTTATGCAAAATAAAATTTTGAAGGTAAATATTTGATTTTAAACTCAAAAATAACCTATATATGTATTTATGGGAATATCTGTCCATTCAAAACATAATATAACCTAAAATCTATCCATAGAATATCTGAATATTGTCATTTTAAGCATAAATTCTCTTTGTTGAGATGTATCTGTGACCCTGGAGCACAAAAGCAGTCTTAAGTCGCTGGGGTATATTTGTAGCAATAGCCAACAATACATTGTATGGGTCAAAATAATAGTTTTTCTTTTATGTCAAAAATCATTAGGATATTAAGTAAAGATCATGTTCCATGAACATATTTTGTATATTTCCTACTGTAAATATATCAAAACTTAATTTTTGATTAGTAATATGCATTGCTAAGAACTTCATTTGAACAACTTTACAGATGATTTTCTCAATATTTTGATTTTTTTTCCACCCTCAGATTCCAGATTTTAAAATAGTTGTATCTCAGCCAAATATTGTCCGATCCTAACAAACCATACATCAATGGAAAGCTTATTTATTCAGCTTTCAGATGATGTATAACTCTTAATTTTGAAAAATTGACAATTATGACTGGTGTTGTGGTCCAGGGTCACATATGATCTGTTATCTTTATCTATGTGAGCATATTTCCTCAACGGGATAAAAAAATGTTTTTTTTTAAGTAATTGCGACTTTGTCTCACAATTAGGACTTTTTTTCTCACAATTCAGTCTTTTTATTGCAATTTCAAAGTCAGAATTGCAAAGATATATACTTGAGATATAATTTTTTTCCCCCAGAATTCTGGCTTTTTTCCTCACAATTCTGAGTTTATATTTCGCAATTCTAACTGTTTTCCTCAGAAGTTTTTCAGAACTGTTTTTCTCACAATTCCGAGGAAAAAAACTCAGAATTGCGAAATGTTAACTCAGAATTCTGACATTTTTCCTCATATTCTGACTTTTTTCTCCTCGGAATTCTATTCACATCTCACAATTCTGTTTTCTGTTTCTGTCACAGAATAAAAAATAGAAAAGGTAATTGTGGCTTTTTGTCTCACAATTCTGACTTTATACCGTGCAATTGACTTTCTTGCAAGAAAAAGACAGAATTGTGAGATAAAAAGTCAGTTTATTTTTTTATTTCCATAGTGCTCTTTTATTACTTACCTATCGTTGGAATTGTTGTGACTATTTCTCCCAGTTTGAGTTTGTAGAGGATTGTGGTTTTCCCTGCTTTCCCTGCTGCAACTGAAAGTGAACAGGAATCAAATCAAGCCAAACTTCAGTTTGCATAAACGCCTTCCTCGCCTTCCTAAAACAACGACTGATTTACTGATACAGTTTGAATTCATTTCAACGTCTATAGACCATAAGAGCATTCAGACTTGTATAGAAAGAGCTTTAAAAACATTATTCAGTGGAAAATGTCAACAAAACAGCCATTTCATCAAAGCTAACCGGCA